TGTGGCAAATAACCCTACAATATTTGCAATACGTGAAGCACAACTTCTATGGCCAGATGCAAAGATCGACACTCTTGTTTCAATCGGTTGTTGTTCTGTTCCAACAAAGGTAATAAATTCTTTATTGACATCTTTTTGGGTTTTTTTTTAAATCTGTCGAATAACCGGAATGTGAATAAAGTTAAAATGACCAAAATACCCTTAATATTGATTGTAGGCTCGTAAAGGTGGATGGAGGTATTTGGACACTGGGCAAGTGTTGATTGAGAGTGCATGCTCAGTGGAGAGAGTTGAGGAAGCTTTGAGCACATTGTTGCCAATGATTCCTGAAATAAACTATTTTCGCTTCAATCCAGGTGACCTAAATAATGTTATGTTAAATCTGTTTATTGTGTGAAACTAATGCTACAACATATCGTGAATGACTTAAATAGTTAAATTCATATAGCATGCTTTCTGTTGTTTTTACAGTTGATGAACGTTGTGATATGGAGTTGGATGAAACGGACCCCACAGTCTGGCTTAAGTTGGAGGCAGCTACAGAGGAGTATATCCAGAACAATTGTACAGCTTTTAAAAAAGTGTGCGAGAGATTGTTGCTGAACCATAGTGATGAAAAGTTGCTGGAGAATCTCACCTCTCAGCCTTCTTTGAAGTCAAGGGGTCCAAATACTGGTATAATTATTGTAGCATCCTACTTTCATTTCTCTTTATTATAATATCGTACTTTGAAAAATCCTTCCAATTACAACAACAATGTCATCAAATACAAAACAATGTACAATGTCTTTATAAGAAAAAAAATTGTAAGTAGAAGGCTGTAATATCAAGAAACAAAAGTAAGATTCTATACCATTTTGTTAACATCCGTTTCCACAGGTGAGAGTGGTCCATCTTTAGGATGGAGACGTAACGTACTACTAGTAGAAGCTTCTCATAATCCAGATTCCGGAAGAGTCTTCAACCATGCTCGATCACTTCAGACATTTTGTTCAGGTCATGGTATAAGATTAACTCTTCTGAATGCTGCTGCTGCATCTGGATCTGGACCACTTAAGCCAGATCCAGGAACATCTTTCCCTACACCATTCACATCCCCATTATTTACCGGAAGCTTCCCATCAAGCCCACTTCTTTACAGTCCCGATCTCGGTGGAATTCACAGAGTTGGCAGAATCGAATCCGTACCACATTTAAGCCTCGATGGATTCCATTCCGGAAGGACTGCTTCCCCTCCGGAATCACCCACCGTCCCCAGACAGCTTTCAATGCCTGTTAGAATATTGCATGAGAAATTACAGAATTCTCCTCAGGTCGGTGTTGTTCACCTGGCTCTCCAAAATGATACCACTGGCTCCATATTAAGGTCCGGATTTCTCTTCCTTCAATTCTCCCGCTTTTTAATATTTGTATCAACCACTAATCATACAAAGTTGTTTTATTTATAGTTGGCAAAACGATGTGTTTGTGGTGGCTGAGCCAGGAGAACTTGCGGAGAAGTTTCTACAGAATGTTAAATACAACTTGCTATCAATGTTAAAAGGAAGACGTAGAAAATACACATCAGTAATCTCCAACATCTCTACCATTTCTGATCTTGTTGCATGTCGCCCTTACTTCCAGATTGGTGGCGTTGTCCATCGTTACATAGGACGCCAAACCCAAGTATATGCTTACTCCTTTTCATTTATCCTACTTTGAAAAACATATCACTTATATATACATGTATCCTAATGATTGATAAAAGGTTATGGAAGATGATCAAGAAATTGGGGCTTACATGTTCCGAAGAACAGTCCCTTCTATGCACTTAACTCCCGAAGATGTTCGTTGGATGGTATGTTTATATCTTTCCATATACATATACATATACACATATATACATATACATATATAGCTTAAGAGATGAAATCTGGAAAATGAAATTGACAGGTTGGTGCATGGAGGGACAGGATAATAATATGCACGTGTTTATACGGACCATCACCCGCCCTAATAAAATCCTTCCTCGACTCTGGAGCAAAAGCCGTGATATGTCCATCGTCTGAACCCCAAGAAATGCAACTAACAACATTTCATGGCTCAACCACCGAATTCAATGATTTAGAAAACGGTAAATTTGAAATCGGGGTAGATGAAGGAGATGATGAAGGCACGGAACCCGTAAGCCCATCGAG